AGCAGGGGCTTCATCATCGTCCGCCCCTCCTACAGCAGCAGCAGCAGCAGCAGCAGCAGCAGCAACAGCGGAAGCGCCCGCAACAGCAGCAGCTGAAGCAGCATCAAGCACAACAACTGCCTCATCCGCACCCGCTGCAGCAGCAGCAACAGCTTCAGAGACAATATCAACTCCAGCAGCAGCAGCGTCAGGCCCAGAAGTAGCAGCAGCAGGCCCAGAAGTAGCAGCAGCAGGCCCAGAAGTAGCAGCAGCAGGCCCAGAAGTAGCAGCAGCAGGCCCAGCAGCAGCAGCATCAGGCGCAGCAGCAGCAGCAGCATCAGGGCCAGCAGCAGCACCAGCATCATCATCATCAGCGGCAGGAGAAGCAGGCGCAGCAACCCCAGCAGCAGCAGGAGGAACAGCAGCATCAGCAGCAGCAAGCCCAGCAGCAGCAGCAGCAAGCCCAGCAGCAGGAGCAGCAGCAGCAGGAGCAGCAGCAGCAGCAACAGCAGGAGTGTGTCGCCCTCCTTCTGATGGTTGTTTAGCTGTAGTTGTCGATTTAAATGCAGACATTTGGCGGAGGCCCTCTGCTTTAAATTCTTTTTTAGACAAAACACAGCCGATACCCGTGCAGCTGCAAAAGAGGATCCAGCAGCAGCAGCAGCAGCAGCAGCAGCAACAGCAGCAGCAGCAGCACCAGCAGCAGCACCAGCATGACAGCGCTTTGGCGTTGGTGCGATATCTTGATTTTATATCAGGTGAGAGTAGGGGCATCTTGCTTTTTCTTGAAGGACATACAAAATAAATAGGCTTGCTGCTCTTAATCCTGCTGCTGCTGCTCCTGCTGGTGTTGCTGCTATTGCTCCTGCTGCTGCTGCTGCTGCTGCTGCAGGTGCTGTCTCTCGGTTTGCGCGTGCGTTGGCTTTGCTGGCGCCTCAAAGTCGATTGGCTGTAATCGGAATGAACGCCGACACCGCGTAAGCCCTTTGCTGCTGCTGCTGCTGCTGTTGCTGCTGCTGCTGCTGCTGCTGCAGTTGCTGCTGTTGCTGCTGCTGCTGCTGCTGCTTATTTGGTTGCGGTTGTGCTGCTCTGTTGCTTTTTTCTGCTGCGTTGCCGCCTCGGACAGCGCTCACGGCAGCAGCAGCAGCAAGACAGCAGCAAATTAGCAGCAAACCAACAGCAGCAGCAGCAGCAGCAGGAGACTCTGGTTTTATGTTTGTTTGTTGCTGCAGCAAAATTCTCTGCGAGATGGAGCCCCCTAATTGGCTGTTGCTGCAGACAGGGTTTGAAGACAGCGGACTGTCTCTGCACCAGGCCCTCACAGACTTTGTCTTAAATAAAGCAGAAGCTGCTGCTGCTGCGGATGCTGCTGCTGCTGCTGCTGATGCTGCTGCGGATGCTGATGCGCCTGCTCCTGATGCCGATGGTGCTGCTGCTGCTCCCGCTGCAGCTGCTGCTGAAAGCAGAATGGAGGTGGACGGAGCAGCAGCAGCAGCAAATCCCTCCGCTGCTGCTGCTCCTGCTGCTCCTGCTG